GTATGTTGGGAGGAGCGAATGAAATAATATTTTTAAATAGCTTAGAGCTTAGCACATAGTACGAGTAACATAATTGTTATCATTATTATTAGTCATTTTATTATATTGCCTTGGCATATCTATGAGCAATTAATAGTTATCTGCTCATTTTGGTATGTCTTTATTTGTGTAAAGAGTGTTTTGTTGTTGTTCATATAGTTCCTATTTATATCTTGGGAAGTCGACTTCCAAGTATTTTATATATTCTGTACTTATTTTAAATTAAATTTATCTTTGTTATCCTATTTGGTTTTGTTAGTAATATTCAGAAATATTGATGATTTATATGGTACATTAATGCACTGATGGTTGAATTGTAAAATGGTATAAACATTGGAAAGCAATTTGAAACTACGCCCCCCCCCAAATTACTAAGTTCTGTATGCTCTTTGACTCACTGATATGTAGGTGTCTTATTATTGTTTTTTTTTAAACATTGATTATTTTACTACTTAAACCTTACTAGATATTTTTTGAACACTAAATCTAACTGAACCCAGGTTTCCCTGACTGAAGTAACACTCCAGGAATGCCAGAGATGGCTACAAGAAATTTTGGGTTCCCTGAGGTCCTAGACCCATCCAAATTATTCTTTTTTCGAGTCTCCAAATCCAGGCTTTAATTTGGATCCATCCAAGCTTGTGTGTTGTGTCCCTTTGTATTTTGGCTTTGCCTATTGAGTGTTTACATTTACTCATATCCATCTCAATCTATTTTGCATTCAAGTTGTCCTTTCTGCAAAATTGTTTGCTGCATTCATGTAGTTTCCGTGTGTTATCTAAACTGTATATGATATAAACTTTCCAGAGTCTGGATGAGAGGGAACCACAATTTTTTTCTAATTCTCTCTCCTCTAGCAAATGACCTACTAATTTTTTTTTAACTCTTTCATATTTGAGGGTTTATTCTTGTGAACAACAATGTGGTGTCAGGAGTGGGATTCCCTTGTTAAGTTGGAAGAGTTAAATTGGAATGCTTTTTAAGACCGAGGAAGCTAAGTAAATCTCTGTGATATTAAGACTGAGCATGGGCAGGACCTGACCAATACGGATATGAAAAGAATCTGGCAAGTGTCCCTGATGAACACAGTTCAGGCCTCCAGCTTCGGGTTTACAGAAATTAGAAGAGTAAAATTAACCCAGGTCACCCTGATTAACCAAATGAGTAATCTTCACTTGGTCACTCAAAGGCTTCGTAATCAGCTATTTTTTTTTTTTTTTGAAGATGGTTAAAATTATGCTGGAGGTTCTTTGGTAGAGCTTTCTTTTTCTTTTTCTCTTTTTCTTTCTTTTCTTCTTGAGTCTCCTAAGATATTTGGTCTGTTATTGGTCAGTAGCATACTAGATATCTTAATGTGCATGGCTATTAGTTCTACACTCATTTATCTAGGACGACCCAAGGTTAGCTAGAGGAACTTGTAATTGACAAGCAGTGAGGTGGGCGTTTACAGGTGCTTCCACTTCAGAAGTTCTCTCTCTAGTGCACAAGGGCTTGTTTATCTTGGAGAACATTGAAAGAGAACACCTTGTCACTCATGAAAATATCTGTAAGAAAACTGATAAAGGAGCCTTAGAAGGGTGGAGAAGACTAATGAAGTCTCATGTCTAAAACAGCTCTCCCAGTTATTTGTAATACTAACCAGGGACTTACTCTTACTGACTCTTTGATAACACTTTCAGTTGGAGATAAGGGACAAAACAAAACAAGCAAACACACACACACACCAACAACAACAAAAACAAAAACAAAAAACAAAACAAACAAACAAAATAACTAGGAGATTCTTTCTTTATCCCTGCTTTTACAACTTTGGCCAGATTGGAGACTGCAGAAATACAAAACATGAGAAAGTAGGAAATTTTTTCCCCTGGTATGTTGAAAGGTATGGCATTATAAAGTAATTATAAGCTACGATTTGTAACTGAAATGTAACATGTTTACTGCAAATTACTATGAATACGCCAAATTATGTTTTAAAGATTTTTGAAATTGTTAAAAATATTAGTGGATTTTTTGGAGGTTTGCAGCTAGAATTAAGATTAAGCAAAAACATCATCTCTCATCTCTCTGCCCTTCTTGGAAGGTAACAAATATATTTTTTCTAATAGAAGGTAATTTTACCTACTAGTAAATAAGCAGAACTGAAGCTAGTTTGAAATGTTTCAACATAACTTGTTTGGGTAAATTAGTAGCTAAATCACCTAAATCAAAACAGACTATGCAACTAAAGAAGCAAAAGTTGAGCAACTAACTGGTATTGTATAAGAAAAACACACATGCACACACACGCATATGCACAAATGCACACATGCATATACACACGAGATGATGTTTTAAGCAAGTAGAAGTATCTGTTAGCAATTTCAAAATGGTAGTATTCTATCAAGGTATACCATTTATCAAATGGAAACTATAGAAATAAATTTGTAACATGTAATTATTTGAGCCAAGCATACTAATTCTTTCCTTGAAGGACCATTAGTAGGGCATATCCCAATTTTTAGAGTCTCATGGGGTCTGAAAGAAGATGGGAAGATGAGACTACCAACATAAATCTTTGAAAGTAAGCTAACTGAAAACAATGGGCTTTATAAATTGAGGTTCTGGGAGCTAATGGCCCTTGGGAAAGTTGAGATTTTGCATATAAAATAGTGGAACTTGCTGCCTACCTTTGGAGAGAGAGGTGATGGATTCAGAGTGTCAACTAGAAAATATATTTTTGAAAAGGATAATGAATGCAGGAATTAGTTTTGATTAATTATACAAATTTTAATACAGTTTTTGTTTTTTCTTTCTTTTTCATTGGCTAAGGGATGACAGAAGAGAAAATAGATTTTGGTTAATTGAAAAATATTAATTTGATTTTTAAAAGGAGAAAAAGGAAGGAAAGAGGGAAGTAAGGAAAAGAGGAAAGGAAGGAAAAAGGAAAGAAAAAAGGAAAGAAAAGGAAGGAAGGAAAGATAAAGGGAGGGAGGAAGGAAGGAAGAAAGGAAGGAAAGACAGAAAGAAAAAGAAAGGACAAAAGAAAAAGAAAGAAGGAAAGAAATGTAGATAAAGGAAGGAAGGAAAGAAGAAAGGAAGGAAAGAGAAGAGGAAGGAAGGGATGAAGGAAGGAAGAAAGAAAGATGCAACAAGCCTAGAGTAAACCTAGTGAGTCATGCATAAAGATAATGAGTTCTGTTTTGGACATGTTGAGTTTGAAATGCTTGTTCTTTATAGACAATGAAACAAACTACACAAGATTCCTGATCTGTTTTCCCAAAGAGTCCGTTAGAACTTCTTTGTTCAATGCACCATTGCCTTAGGTCTTTGCTATGAGGCTAGGTGATAGCTAAGTAATCTGCTTAAATAGTTATGCTAATGTTTTAATTGGTGCTTTAATTGGTTTTAATTGGTTTAATTGGTTTTTAATTGGTTTTAATTAAGGTATAATAGAATGTGATATTATTATATTAAAGTGTTACCCCTTATAGGTAATAAATTCATTTGAACAAGGATTTTCTAATGACAAGACCTTAAATAAAAGGCTAATTTAAATTATGGGAATTTTAGCAGTCAAGTCGTGACGGTTTAGGCGATATTTGGTAGGGATGCATAACTTCATAATACAATAGAAATGAACTGCCTTCCTAGGTAATTTATTCAGGACCTAATAGAAAACTCCTCAAAACTTGTCAACCCAGATGACTGTTAATCACTTCAGCTGATTCTTATAGGCAAAAATGATATTGCCAGAAAGAATCTACAAAACATCACTAAAAATTACAAAGGCTTGCACAGGAAACTGATATCTTTAGGGGCCTTTTATCACTGATGCCAAGGACAGACAAGGGATTTAGAAGAGAATGGGAATTTTAAGATGATTGCAGGGATATTTGTGATGAATACTCCCAAATCAAAGTCAGTATATTTAATACATACAGATTTGGACATAGGATATATTAGAACTTTTCCTACTACCTGAACTATTTGGTTCATAGTCAACCATTTGGGGCTGACTATACTGACTATACACCTGATTAGAAGGAAAGGGAGGACATACTTATGAGCTCTCTTTATCACATGAAATACCCATATGCACCCTTGCTATCACTGCCCCTGCTAAGGATTTCTGAAGGTACAGGGACAAGGTATACAAGAATGTCAAATGTCAATTGTTTCCGAAAAATTCTCATTAAGCTACTGCAGAGAGTTAATCACCCAGGGCTCCATTTCCCTCTTCTGATAAAGGTATACTCAATGGGTCAAAAGAAAGAGAGAAGGAATTGAGTGTTTTCTTCAAATCACACATGCTTAGTCCATGTGATCCAGGGGCATGTGGCAACCGCTACACCACAATTCATTTAATTAAGCATGATGAGAGATGAAAGCCATCAGAATTATACGTGTATCTAAGTGTTAGACGGTTATCTTTGGGTAAAGTATGGTCGCTAAATAGCCATGAAGCCATGATCACCCAGAGAAGCCAACTTAGAATCATCACAAATCTGCTATAGATGCTGAAACAGAACATTCTGACTTCCTACAATATACAGGAGACCAAGAGACAGGCAATTCAATCATTTTCCAAACAATATGCCTTTTAAAAAATTTATTTCCCAGTCTTCTGGAGGAACTATTGCTAATATTAAGTCAGCACAATCTCCATGCTAAACCTTGAAATGTGTGCTTATATAGTGAACATGGTTGTCAGCTAGAATTCATCTAAAATTTTGCCCAAAAGCAAATGACATATAAATTTCTTGTTTCATTGCTGGCTTCAGAATAAATCCAATAAAAGCTATTTCTACATATGGTTCAATTTTAAATACAAGCTATTCAGAGATTATAACACATTTAGCATCAAACTGATGGCTGACTTCACAAGCTGTTCCGAGAAGAGAGGAAAATTGTTCTAGCCACCCATAGAAAATCACAGCAAAAGAGACTTCAGGAATACTTAGAAGAGCACTTTCATTTACCCTCATTGTCCTTCAGTGTGAAGTTGGGGTTCAGAGCCAGACCTTCATCCAGAAAGAAATGGAATCTTGGTCCATTTGCAAAATCATCTTTATCAGTGGCACTGATTGTATGTATAACCTGAAAGGGGAAAAATACTGCATTGAAATTGGCCAAGGCATTACTTAATTTCCATTGCATTAAAAAAAAACTAATTCAAAACAAAAGAATTCTTAAATGAACCCCTTTTTTCTATTTGGAAGTCTTCAAATTTACCTCATTCAACAGTACACATTGCTTTGTTTTTTTCCCAGCATGAAATATTTTAGGAATAGCATTATGGAAGAAGTTATAATCATCTATGCTTTGCTATTTTCTGCCATGACTCAACCATGTTTATTCTAAGATTTCTTTATCACAGGATGTACCTTGGGGCCTTTTAGATGTAAAATTCTGTATAAACACCTGTTTGGGGAGACATGAAATATGGCTCAAACAAGTATAAATGTTCCAGTGTTGATGTAGAGTACTCTAAGCAATAAGAGCTGGTTTCAGTCAATAAGTGCAAACAGAATTGAGTTGTAAAATTCACTAGTAGGGAACACAGAGGTCATCTAATTTGAATCCCAGGCAGGCCAGGTTAAGTTGCCCAAAGTCACACAGCTAGTTAGTGGCACAGTCAGAAAGAAAGAGGCAGGTCTCCTGACTCCTAGTCCAGCACTATTTCCAGTGCTGCTTCTTTTTGCAATCCTTTTACTCTCTCATTGCTAAGACAGAAGATTTGTTAAAATTCAGAACTGACAGACAATCTGGACCAGAACTAGGTGGAAATACATAAACAGAATTGAATACCAGATTGCCATGGAAGAGGGAAAAAAGAGCAAGTGACCAAATAATTCCATAGCATCCCACCTTTAAAAAAACAGCAAAAACCCTTTCTGTACCTAATTTGGCACTATATGCCCCAATTTCAAGCAAGTGACCTTCAGCTATTGCTTAAAAAACTGTACCTACAGAAAGCATCTGAAATGGAATATGGAAAAAGTATAGGATGGTTGATGGTTAAGTAAACAAATGAACAAACAAACAGGGATAGCCTTCTTTTGAGTTTAAGTCCTCATCTAGTTATTCCTAGCTTTCCTGATTCTAAGGAAGCCTTTAGAAAGCTATTCCAGCTGCCAGTAATAGTGTTTCTGCACACAGTTCCTAAGCTGCTGCAGATGTCAATAGTCGTGAGCAATAGGAATCCAGGCCCACTGCTGTCAGCACATAAAACTAGCTTACATAATTCACTTCTTCTCCAACCCCTTCTTATTTAAAGCAAAAAATATGAGGAAAATGAAGCAGAGGGGACAGTGTGATATGAGTAAATGTGATAATACATGCTTCATAACACCTTTCGCATCTTCTTCTCTCCACTGACTCGGGTTCTGCTTTAGTTCAGGCATTTATTACCTCTCAGCTGGACAATTATAATGCCCTTCTAAATGGTCTTCAGGTTCACAGTCCTCTCCTTACCTAATCCATCTTCCAAAGAAATGACAAAATAATTGCCCTAACTCTTGTGTCTGTCTGCTAATGTCACTCTCTTGCTCTGTAGCTTTCAGTGACTTCCTATCGTCTCTAGTATAAAATGCAAATCCTTCACACTGGTTTAAGGTCCTCCAGAGCCTGGCTCAAATCTGTCTTTTTGACCTTACTTCTCATTGTTCCACTATATTCCAGCCAAACTGGACTATAGCTGTTTCCCATCTCCATGTCGTGCCTGGAAGGTACTCACACTTCACTGCCTCTCAGAATCCTTGCCTTCCTTCAAGGCTTAGAACATATGCCTCCTCCTTTGTGAAACTTACCCTAACCTTCCTCCAGTTTTTAATTCTGTTTCTCTTCAAATTACATTGTAGTTCCTTTTTTGTATATATGTTCTATTCCCCAGTAGAACATAAACTCAGGATACTACAAATGGTTCTATGTTTGCTTTGCATCCCTAGGATCTGCCACAATGTATTGCAAATAAAATGCGCTTAATGAATATTGTTTGAGAAATCAAATATTAAATTCAATTAATCTTCAAAGAGCCCTGTAGATATGAATGCATTGGGTTTTCTCAAATATCCAGTTTTAACTTTCATTTCTTCTTTTCTAAACTTTAAAAATTGGAAAGGATGGTCTTTTTCTTTTTAAACCTTTTCATTCCTTCCTCTACTTCCTACAGATACTATTATACTCATTTTAAAAATGAGGAAACTGAGGCTCAGAGAAATCAGAAGACTTGGTAATGGCAACACAACTAGAAATTTTCTAAGGCAGGTTTCTCGTATTTATCCTCGTAGTGTGCTTTTATATAACACCATGCTATATATGCACACTTATTTGGAAACAACAGTTGATGAGTAAATCCATATTCTTCCTTTTTGAAACAAAAAAGAGAGACCCACAAAGTATAGGGGATTTGTTCAAAGTCATAAATAGTAAAGAGAGAACAGAACCACACAAGAACTCAGTTCAGATTATAATCTACTGATCTTCTCGTTAAACTGTGCTGTCTCCTTCAGTGGCAAGTTTACTCATTCTTCATGGGGGGAGGGGAAAGTTTTTCTAATGTGGCCTGATTGATCAGGACTGTGTCCATTCCTTGCCACATAGTCATCTTTTTCAATTTCCTTACTGCCTTTAAAGCCTCTTAAATGTCACAAACATTCAGAAACAAAGGATTTGCCTTTGAACTAACAGACCAAAACTTCCTAACAGACCAAAGCCTAACAGTTAATTTTTTTTTTATCACATATGATTGTCAAAACTATGTCTTCATGACTCCTCTACCTTCATACAGAAAATTATATGGACATTTTAATTTTTTATCCTGCAAATATCTCCTCAATCCAAAAACAATATAAAACAAATAAACAAGAACAACAACCACATTTTCACCTTGAAGTCGTCTCAGGGTAGCAGCTTGTATCTCTCCTGGCTTTGGTTAAATGAAAATTTTATTTATTAAGTGGTTACTATATTTCAGGTGCTGTGCTAAGTCCAGGATATGCAAAGAGGTAAAATAAAACAAAACAAAATAAGACAGTTGTCTTCAACGAAATTACTTTCTAATAGAGGGGGAAAAAAACCATGTAGTGTAATGATAGCCAGGGACGGGAATTTTGACCAGAGAAGTCATAGGTATGGTGAATAATGTCATAGAGCAATGGATTGGCATGTCTGTTCAAGTACTGGTATCTTATTACTGTTACCAGAGCTAGAGTTGGAGGAGAGGGAATAGGAGCTGGAGATGATTGTTAAGTCTCTTAACTGCAAAATCCAATGACCTCTTCCCTGTCCTCAACCTCCTTACCCTTTCTGCTGCTTTGGATACTAAAGACCAACCCTCATCCTGTACACTTACTTCTCTTGTCCTTTATTACACCATCATCTCATTTCTCCTACTCTGATTATTCCTTTTAAGTCATTATTGCTGGCTAGGAGGGGGAAAATGGGGAGAGAAAGGGGAAGGAGGGAGGAAAACTAGGAGAAGCTTATGGAAGGATAGAAGTGGGAAGGAAGAGAAAAGGGGAAAGGGGAGAAAGACAGGGGGAGAGAACATTGACAACTGAGTAGGATAAAGAAAAACTTCATTTAGGTTTAGGAGATAGCATCTGAGCTGTGCTTTGATAGAAGTGAGGGATTTTACAAAATAGAGGTAAGGAAAGACAACTTTGATGAGACATGGGGCAAGTTAGAATGGCATAGATAGGGAATAGCTAGCACTCTAGTTTACCTTGAGTGGAGAATGTGTAAAATAATATATACATAATACTAGAAAGTAATATAAATAAAATTAGAAAAGTAGGCAAGGGAAATACTGTGGAACTGTGGAAATTTTAAATGCCTGTCTGAGGATTTTAAATTTTACTCTTGATATGCTAAAGAATCACTAGGGATTTTGGAGTAATGGAGTGATATAGTCAGAATGGGATTTTAGGAATATCATATTGACAGCTGTGTGGTAGAGAGAGGAGAGATATTAGAGGCAGAGATGGTAACTAATCTTCCTTCATGATTTCTTGTCCTGTGTTAGCATTGCCTTCTATTACGTGAATAAATCACCAGCAGTTCTAACACAACATGTTTAAAATAGAACTCTTGTTTCTCTAAACTCCTCTCAAAGCTACTTCTAAACTAGTCACACAGGTTTGCAATTTCTGAGTCTTTCTTCATGTGTTTTTCTACCTCTTGTCAATTCTAGCCATGTCTGTCACTGCTTAATGTGAACACCACCTTACTTCACACTCTCTCCACTCCTCGATTAGACTGTTAAAACAGTTTGCTAACCTTCTTGCTTCCAGTCTCCCCTCATCCAATACAGCTGTTAACTTATTCTTCCTGAGGCAGTGATCTTGACATCTCAGTCTTTTGCTAAAAATTCTCGAGTAGCTCCCTCTTGCTTCTAAGAAAAATATAAAAACTTTAACCTGGCATTTAAGATTGTACTTTCCAACTCATCTTTACAAACATTTCTTGAAATATATTACTTCCTTTCAAGCACTGTATATCCCAGCCAAATTGGCCTACTAGCTAGTCCCTGAATTCTGCATTCCCTCTTCCTCTTCTAAGCATTTTCACAAACTATACTACATGCCTAGATTGAGGTCCCTCATTACTTCTGTGTCTTAGAAACCTCTTCTCTCTTCAACTCAGGTATCATCTTTATTATATCTTATCCTCCCAGGTGTTAATGTCTTCTTTTATACTTCATAAGATATCCTGGGGGCTAGATTTCTTCCTCTTTCCTATTTATTTAATCTTTTTTTTTAAGCTAGGACAATGAACTCTTTTGTCTCATGTGGTTTTCATTCCTGATTACTTGAAATATAGCTCTGGTAAACCAGGTTTTGATAAAGCCTATTAGGATTCAAATGGAGTTACTTGACTATGCCTTTAAACCCAAATCACTCTGGCTCTCACTGATTGGCTAATAATAGGTCCCAACCCAAGTCTCACTTGCTATTTGTTTGAGTTTTAATGGCTCAAAGTGAGTGTAAATAGCAATTGTTTCTGTTCTGACAAGAATCTCTGTCTTTCCCACCCAGATGAATTATTTTGGGAAGTCAAACTAGGTCATTTTTTGCCCCAATACTTACCTAGCTTTT